ACCGAGAACGTTGAACAAACTGGCACCTGCTTTTCTTCCCTGGAAGAGCTAGTATCATCTTTTAGTTCTCCCGGGATTTTAGGTGCACCTTTTGAACCAGCAGTCGACATCTTGTATAGAAATTATATTAGGGTCAAGATTGGAAACGAAAATGGAGAACTTGGGCCAATTATTCTTGACTCGAATGAGCAAACTGGTAGCGTTCCAGGTGAGGAACTTCAATGGCTCTTTCTTGATGTCCACTTCAGGCTATGCATCACCGTTTTCAAGACATTGCTTTGAAGGCGAAAGCATGGGCTTCTTTGCTGAGCCTTCATTCTCAATTGGTTTGAAGAATCGCTTCATCGTGTTGCTCACAAGTTTACATTCCCAACTCTCTTTTGTCATTGTTTACCTGCTCTCTTTTTTTTATGGATATTTTATTTCCCTAGACAATGACTTCCATATTTTTTTATTATATGTATGGAGATTATTGTTGGGAAATGACAAAGCAAATAAATTCTTTAATTGATTTCCAGCTTTGGTGGATAAGGACAAACATGCAAGTTGGAAACAATGAATTCTAGGCAATGCCATTATTATTAAATTAATCCATCTCACCCAACAATTTGTCCACTTCTACCTACTCTATCATCCTCATTCACAATTTTCTTTTAAAATTAATTTCCCCCATAATTAGAGTGTTACAATTCTCCCATCCTTAAAAGAATTTCGTCCTCGAAATTCATTCATGTCACATAATTGCAGGAATGAAACTTTCATCAGTTCTTTCATATCTTTAAGTAGCTTTTATAAAAATACGGATCCTCCACTAATCGTTAACCAGTTGAGCATACATTTTTATCAGAACTTTTCCTCATTTCAATAAAATAATCAGAACATATTTATCCTTGTGGAATCCATTCAGCATTGGTTACGAGAATAGGCTTATAGAGCAATAAATATCCCAATTTCATTTCTGGAGTTGGATCGGAATTTCTCATATGAGTAAATCTCACATGGCTCGTGATGTACTTTACCGAATTCAGATAAATGTTACTGGTATTCCTTTATGTAAAGGTAGATCCTTAAAGGATAAAAGCTTAGGTGTGCCCGTTAAAGATAGGGACTCAACCTTAGAGTTCCAGCTTAGAGAGATACGATTGTAGTCTAGGGGCATGTATTGATTTGACATCTTTTTAAAATTTGACCGGCCGGTCTATCTTAAAAATTTGACTCAACCATAGCTCTGCTATCACTAAATGTAACCCCCTCAGACTAATGTGGTTAACCCAATCCGATCTGAAGTGTCACATTAGGGCCACCGGAGCGACCCACTGTAAAAATAGTGGAAAATTTAAAACTTTTTATCAAAACATGTAAATTCATAAAATCATTAATCGGTATGTAGAATTAAAATAGATTTTAAAACTTACATATAAAACAAAATACAATTACATGCCCCCTAATCACATGTACCATACTCTGCAAGCAACGCCGGAAGAACTCCTTTACTGATGTCGATAGATGCACTTGTACGATTCTCTTAACCTGTAATGTTGAGTAATAGAGTGAGCTTTGGAAAGCTCAGTAATACAGAATTACCATGTGATGCTGAAGAACGTGAAGATATAGATAAACATAAATTTTCTTATTGGTTCCGAACATCTATGAATTTTCATGCAGATCGAAGATTCTACTGATATTTCAGATAGTAACGGATAATGAGTTTTCAGTTCAGATGGAAATATTTCGGATGTCTAGGTTCAAGAGATCATAATAGGTTATCTAGTGTGTTCCCATAAACCAGTGAAAAGATACACATCTTTTTTTTTTTAAACAGTAGTAGTTTAAAAACATATTTTTATTCAAAAACCATATTAATCCCTTCAACCACTCTCCATAATGTGTAGGTTCCCCAGAACTATACACCCACCTACACACCAAGTAAGGACTTACCCTGAGCACAAAGCAGAGGAGCCTGCAGTAATGATAACTTTCTCCAACAACACCCTCCCATAAAAGGTTTATCAAAAATCATATTATTCCCTCCAATCAACACTCCATAATGTGTAGGTTCCACAGAACCTTACACCCACCTACACACCTACTAAATTCCATGATTTTATAAATCAGGAACAATTCATATTTTCCAGTGAAAACAGGAAACCAGATAGCACATTTTAGGTAACCATAATTCATAAACCAGTAAATTCAATTATTTCATAAATCATGTACAATTCATACTTTTCGAAAACCGTAATCGGAGATCACATACCATGTTGCCATGGTTCATAAACCAATAAATCAATATTTTCATTAATTTCATTTGAAACATAAAAAAATGTCATGTAGTACATGTGAAACACACTAGAGGATTATAATATTTATCAGATATTCTTCAGAGATACTGGATAATCTTATTGTACAGAGAAACAATGATCTTCATTTTACCGATAGAAAGTCAAAATTTAGAATCACTAGAGGAATAGTTCAATAACTAACGGAATCATCAGTTATTCAGAATATAATTGAGCTGATAAGGAAGAAATGAAGATTCAGAACATTTACGGTTTGTGTCGATTTATCGGAATATCGAACAACTCGAGCTGAACAACTCCCATAACTGATACTTATCGACTGGTCAATCTATTACCCTTCTAGGTTATTTATTCTTTAATACCAAAAATTCTTGTCCAGAGATCATCTTCGGAATCATCGCTGAATAGATCTTTCAATGTCTTTATTTCATTTTCACGCTTCCACAATATCATAAAATACTGATGTGTTTGATTTGTAGTTCATGACCCATAAGTACATTACATCATGTATTCATTAACGTTTCTAGACTCATACAAATCACTTACTTAATCCTTAGTCCTTGAGGTTACTTAGTTCAATTAGCATTCAAGTCCATTCCAGTTACTTCGGGATTTTCCAGAGTAATTCAAATGTTACTGAGTTTCATATACATGTTGTACTTCAGTTCCAATCAATTTGGTCTTCGTGGTTGATTTGTCGAACAAACGTCCAATTCTTAGTACTGAATGCGATCTAGAGTTGAACTGAGTTGAATACTTCCAAAATTTATCATCGAGCCAAACTTGAGAAGACGAGCATGCATTCAAGTAATATCTTTAGGGTTGATCTACTCACTTAAATTGTGTTCCATTACTTTTAAAGGTAATCCAATACTTTTAAAGGTAGTCCAATACCTATTCTTATTTGGATTCCTTAATTAATCCAAGACATGTACTTAGTTTAGGCCATAAGGTTATTTTGGTAATTTTGGTATTCAGTTTTATTCTATTCATTTCAGAGCTCGAGGATATCCAATCATTCCTGAGCTTGGTGATATTCTTGAGTCATTTCCATTATAGGGGTATTTTGGTTATTTTATAGATTCATTTATTTTAATCCTTTTCTTCCGTCCGATCTTACTATTAAATCCAATCTTATTATTTATTTCATTCTTTCGAACAATTCTGACAGCAGAATACCCCCGATAAATTATTCTTTAGGTATTTACTCATTACTCGAATATTTTCGGGTCAAGTGCCTTCTCATATTTTACAAATGGAATATCATGAATTTTTTTGTACAAAGACAGGATCTTAACAATTAAAATCAAACTTAATCGAGTTAAGTATAAATCCTCAAAGTACTCTCTCAATCAGGGTCAACTCAAACTTTTTTATCTCTCAAGGGCATTTTCGTAATTTCTTAACCAGATAATTTCGATATTAGCTCTTAACGAAAATAATTATAATTTAAAGATCTTATGGTTAATTTCTTTCGCGAAACATTTATGATCTTGAAATGATTCCTTAACAGACTTCTAGCATTTTGCTCAAACTCTCCTGGGGTTAAAAAAACCGGTTATCTGTATTTCCTAAGCAAAACTAACATTTCTTGTGCACATCAGCAGTTTTTATCCGATCAAATTATCTTTTCAGAGTTACTAACCATATTCCAGGGACAATTCTTGTCATCTTACAATATAAGAGTATTTTCGTAATTTTACCCAACCAGAGTATTCGCATAATTTCTCATCTGAGTATCTTCAATATTTAACCTTTGTTGATATTACATATAAGTTACAAATCCAGGGCTGATTCCTTTATCATTAATCACAAAACTTGTAATTTAATTTTAACAATATCTCAATGTCATATATTAATCATCTGAACCATAATCAGTTGCCAAATTTCTACTATGTTCGGATCGAGTGTAAGAATTCATTAACTACATAAATGAGTCCAACATTATCTTATTCATACATTTACCAATATTCACATGTTCCATAAAGCATAAAGAGGTAGTAAAGTATTACCTCAATTTTTGTGTCATACTGATCGACCATAAAAATTCCATTCGAACACCCCCGATCTACAATTCAACTTCCAATAATTCCTCAGATACATATCAACAGAAATTATATAAAAAATGGAGCTTAATTCCAAAAAACGGATCGAATCGGATGATAAATCAGTGAAAACCAACTTACCAGGTTCAAATTTAGAAAAATGGACCTCAGAATCGGACTTAGAACATCAACCAAAAACCAAAATATTACTCTTAAATTCAAACTCATCAACTTGTTTTCTAGCTTCCAATCTTTCTCTAACGAACACAAATAATCTATCGTACAAATACGACTTCAAATAATTTTCCTCGTCACAAAAAAAATAACTTATTAGAATCTAATTAATAATTTGATGACTCAATTAGTAAAATTGAAAACTAATGTTGCCATCAAAATAGTTAATTACTTAAATTAGTGACTAAATTGATCTTGTAAAAACTATTATGTCATAACTATAACCACTTGGAAACTAAAAGACAAGGTAAAGATCTCACCAAACTTGAGTGACATACCTTGTGATTTACCACTTTATTTTCCTAAACACCACCCACGTGATTTTTCATGTTGGAATCATAACCCTATTTTCCTTTGTCTTCAGATCATATTTCTATTTATTTTCCCTTAATTTTTTGAATGTTTGATTGTTGATAAAAGACTAATTCCAAGCTTCTTGGTTCGATGCATCCACTGTTAGTTCATCCATTTCGGTCGGAACGACACTCGTTTCTGCTATCAAACAAGTTTTTCGTTTCAACTCCTTTGCATGTTGGATTACTTCTGCAAACAGTGAAACCTTGTCCATTTTGGTGGTGGTTGGGAGTAAGTTGCGTTGCTTTGCGAGATAGTTGTTGATTCTGTGAGTATTGCCATGTAGATTGTTTCCTTTGTTTGAGTGTTTCTTCACTTGCTGAAACTCGATTAACTAGAACCAAGATAACTAGTGGGAAGATGCCGAGAACGTTGAACAAACTGGCACCTGCTTTTCTTCTCTGGAAGAGCTGGTATCATCTTTTAGTTCTCCCGGGACTTTAGGTGCACCTTTTGAACCAGCAGCCGACATCTTGTATAGAAATGATATTAGGGTCAAGATTGTAAATGAAAATGGAGAACTCAGGCCAATTATTCTTAACTCGAATGAGCAAACTGGTAGTGTTCCAGGTGAGGAACTTCAATGGATCTTTCTTGATGTCTTCTTCAGGCTGTGCATCGCCGTTTTCAACACATTGTTTTGAAGGCGAAAGTGTGGGCTTCATTGCCGAGCCTTCCTTCTCAATTGATATGAAGAATCACTTCATCGTGTTGCTCACAAGTTTACATTCCCAACTCTATTTTTTCATTGTTTACCTGCTCTTTTTTTTATGGATATTTTATTTCCCTAGACAATGACTTCCATATTTTTTTATTGTATGTATGGAGATTATTGTTGGGAAATGACAAAGCAAATAAATTCTTTAATTGATTTCTAGCTTTGGTGGATAAGGACGAACGTGAAAGTTGGAAACAAAATTCCATACAATGTCATTATTATTAAATTAATCCATCTCACCCAACAATTTGTCCACTTCTACATACTCTATCATCCTCATTCACAATTTTCTTTTAAAATTAATTTGCCCCATAATTATAGTGTTACAATTCTCCCCTTCTTAAAAGAATTTCGTCCTCAAAATTCATTCATGTCATATAATTGCAGAAATGAAACTTCCATCAGTTCTTTCATATCTTTAAGTAACTTTTATAAAAATACGGATCCTCCACTAATCGTTAACCAGTTGAGCATACATTTTTATCAGAACTTTTCCTCATTTCAATAAAATAATCAGAACAGATTTATCCTTGTGGAATCAATTCAGCATTGGTTATGAGAATAGGCTTATAGAGCAAAAACATATCCCAATTTCATTTCTGGAGTTGGATCGGAATTTCTCATATGAGTAAATCTCACATGGCTCGTGCGGTACTTTACCAAATTCAGATAAATGTTGCTGGTACTTTATGCAAAGGTAGATCCTTAACGGATAAAAACTTATGTGAGCCCGATAAAGATAGAGACTCAACCTTAGAATTCCAGCTTAGAGAGGTACGATTGTAGTCTAGGGGCATGTATTGATTTGACATCTTTTTAAAATTCGACCGGCCGGTCTATCTTAAAAATTTGACTCAACCAAAGCTCTGATACCACTAAATATAACCCCCTCAAACTAATGCGGTTAATCCGATCCGGAGTGTCATATTAGGGCCATCGGAGCGACCCACTGTAAAAATAGAGGAAAATTTAAAACTTTTTATCAAAACATGTAAATTCATAAAATCATTAATCGGTATGTAGAATTAAAACGGATTTTCAGACTCACATATAAAACAAAATACAATTACATGCCCCCTAATTACATGTACCATACTCTGCAAGCAACACCGGAAGAACTCCTTTACTGATGTCGATAGATGCACTTGTACGATTTTCTTAACCAAGTGATGTTGAAGAACGTGCAAATACAGATAAACATAAATTTTCTTATTGGTTCCGAACATCTATGAATTTTCATGCAGATCGGAGATTCTACTGATATTTCAGATAGTAACGAATAATGAGTTTTCAGTTCAGATGGAAATATTTCGGATGTCTAGGTTCAGGAGATCAGAATAGGTTATCTAGTGTGTTCCCATAAAACCAGTGAAGAGATACAAATCTTTTCTTTTTAAACAGTAGTAGTTTAAAAGCATATTTTTATTTAAAAACCATATTAATCCCTCCAACCAAACTCTCCATAATGTGTAGGTTCCCCAGAACCATACACCCACCTACATACCAAGTAAGGACTTACCCTGAGCACAAAGTAGAGGAGCCTGCAGTAACGATAACTTTCTCCAACAACACCCTCCCATAAAAGGTTTATCAAAAATCATATTATTACCTCCAACCAACACTCCATAATGTGTAGGTTCCACAGAACCTTACACCCACCTGCACACCTATTAAATTCCATGATTCCATAAATCAGGAACAATTCATATTTTCCAGTGAAAATAGGAAACCAGATAACACATTTTAGGTAACCATAATTCATAAACCAGTAAATTCAATTATTTCATAAATCATGTAAAATTCATACTTTTCGATGAAAACCGTAATCGGAGATCACATACCATGTTGCCATGGTTCATAAACCAATAAATCAATACTTTCATTAAATTCATTTAAAACATATAAAACTGTCATGTAGTACATGTGAAACACACTAGAGGATCAGAATATTTATCAGATATTCTTCAGAGATACTGGATAATCTTATTATGCAGAGAAACAAGGATCTTCAGTTTACCGATAGAATGTTGGAATTTAGAATCACTAGAGGAATAGTTCAATAACTAACGCAATCATAAGTTATTCAGAATATAACTTGAGCTGATAAAGAAGAAACGAAGATTTAGAACATTTACGGTTTGTGTCGATCTATCGGAATATCGAACAACTCGAGCTGAGCAACTCCCATAACTGATACTTATCGACTGGTCAATCCATTACTCTTCCAGGGTATTTATTCTTTAATACCGAAAATTCTTGTCTAGAAATCATCTTCGGAATCATCGCTGAATAGATCTTTCAATGTCTTTATTTCATTTTCACGCTTCCACAATATCATAAAATATTGACGTGTTTGATTTGTAGTTCATGACCCATAAGAACATTACATCATGTCTGTTCATTAACATTTCTAGACTCATCCAAATCACTTACTTAATCCTTAGTCCTTGAGGTTACTTAGTTCATTTAGCATTCAAGTCCATTCCACTTACTTTGGGATTTTCTAGAGTAATTCAAACGTCACTGAATTTCAGATACATGTTGTACTTCAGTTCTATTCAATTTGGTCTTCGTGGTTGATTTGTCGAACAAACGTCCAATTCTTAGTACTGAATGCGATCTAGAGTTGAACTGAGCTGAATACTTCCAAAATTTATCATCGAGCCAAACTTGAGAAGACGAACATGAATTCAAGTAATATCTATGCCATTCAGGTATTGATATAGCTTTTGGGTTGATCTACTCACTTAAATTGTGTTCCATTACTTTTAAAGGTAATCCAATACATATGCTTATTTGGGTTCCTTAATTAATCCAAGATATTTACTTAGTTTAGGCCATAAGGTTATTTTGGTAATTTTGGTATTCAATTTTATTCCATTCATTTTAGAGCTCGAGGATATCCAATCATTCCTGAGCTTGGTGATATTCTTGGGTCATTTTCATTACAGGGGTATTTTGGTCATTTTACAGATTCAGTGTATTTTAATCATTTTCGTCCGTCCGATCTTATTCATTTAGAGCTCGAGGATATCCAATCATTCCTGAGCTTGGTGATATTCTTGGGTCATTTTCATTACAGTGGTATTTTGGTCATTTTACAGATTCAGTGTATTTTAATCATTTTCTTCCGTCCGATCTTACTATTAAATCCAATCTTATTATTTATTTCATTCCTTTCGAACAATTCTGACAGCAGAATACCCCCGATAAATTATTCTTCAGGTATTTACTCATTACTTGAATATTTTCAGGTCAAGTGCCTTCTCAGATTTTACAAACGAAATATCATGAATTTTTCTGTACAAAGACAGGATCTTAACAATTAAAATTGTACTTAATCGAGTTAAGTACAAATCCTCAAAGTACTCTCTCATTTAGGGTCAACTCAGACTATTTTATCTCTCAAGGGCATTTTCGTAATTTCTTAACCAGATAATTTCGATATTAGCTATTAAAGAAAATAATTATAATTTAAAGATCCTATAGTTAATTGCTTTCTCGAACATTCTCTGATTTTGAAATGATTCCTTAACAGACTTCTAGCATCTTGCTCAAACTCTCTTGGGGTTAAAAAAACCGGTTATCCTCATTTCCTAAGCAAAAATAACATTTCTTATGCACATCAGCAATTTTTACCGGATCAAATTGTCTTTTTAGAGTTATTAACCATCTTCCAGGGATAATTCTTGTCATCTTACAATATAAGGGTATTTTCGTAATTTTACCCAACCAGAGTATTCTCATAATTTCTCATCCGAGTATCTTTAATATTTAACCTTTGTTAATATAACATATAAGTTACAAATCCAGGGCTTATTCATTTATCATTAATTACAAAACTTGTAATTTAATTCTAACAATATCTCAATCTCCTATATTAATCATCTGAACCATAATCAGTTGCCAAATTTCTACTGTGTTCGGATCGAGTGTAAGTATTCATTAACTATACAAATGAGTCCAACATTATCTTATTCATACATTTACCAATATTCACATGTTCCATAAAGCATAAAGAGGTAGTAAAGTATTACCTCGATTTTTGTGTCATATTGATCGACCATAAAAATTCCATTCGAACGTCCCTGATCTTCAATTCAACTTCCAATAATTCCTCAGATACATATCAACAGAAATTATATAAAAAACGGATCTTAATTCCGAAAAACGGATCAAATCGGGTGATAAATTAGTTAAAACCAACTTACCGGGTTCGAATTTGGCAAAATAGACTTCGGAATCGGACTTAGGACATCAACCAAAACCCAAAATATTACTCTTAAATTCCAGCTCATCAACTTGATTTCTAGCTTCCAATCTTTTTCTAACGAACACGAATAATCTATCGTACAAATACGACTTCAAATAATTTTCCTCGCCATAAAAAATAACTTAATAGAATCTAATTAATAATTTGATGACTCAATTGGTAAAATTGAAAACTAATGTTGCCATCAAAATAGTTAATTACTTAAATTAGTGACTAAATTGATCTTGTAAAAACTATTATGTATTAACTATAACCACTTGGAAACTAAAAAACAAGGTAAAGATCTCACCAAACTTGAGTGACATACCTTGTGATTTACTACTTTATTTTCCTAAACACCACCCACGTGATTTTTCATGTTGGAATCATAACCCCGTTTTCCTTTATCTTCAGATCATATTCCTATTTATTTTCCCTTAATTTTTTGAATGTTTGATTGTAGATAAAAGACTAATTACAAGCTTCTTGGCCCGATGCATCCACTGTTAGTTCATCCATTTCGGTCGGAACGACACTCGTTTTTGCTATCAAACAAGTTTTCCGTTTCAAGTCCTTCGCATGTTGGATTGCTTCTGCAAGCAGTGAATCCTTGTCCATTTTGGTGGTGCTTGGGAGTAAGTTGCGTTGCTTTGCGAGATGGTTGTTGATTATGCGAGTATTGATATGGAGATTAT